TTGTTTCAGGATCATACAAAAATCATTCAGGATCATACAAAAATCATGAACCTTATCATGTCAGCAGATTACCAAGTCTTGTGCATTCTCAAATATTGCACGAAATAAATTCTTAATGGGTCAAGATTTGGTGGAACTAATGTTTCAAATATTGCACGAAATAAATTCTTAGTGGTCAAGATTTGGTGGAACAAATTAATGTGGATTTGGGTCTAGTCAGCACTCGTTTCTTTATTTGTATGATATATGTAGTTTGTTTGTGAAATTGAACTTAGTCATAAACCAAAGATTGACGTTTGTTATACTCTCTGGAAAAAAATATGATTTGGCATCTGTTTATACTCTCTGAAAAAATATGTTTTGTTAGTGATGTACATTGTTAGTAACTTTTGTTAGGGATGTACATTGCTAGTAACTTTTTTTCTAAGCTTTCTTGAGGATGAAATTTGAAAATGTATATTGTTAGTAACTTTTTTATTGAGCTTTCTTGGGAATAAAATGTGAAATGTATCTTATGTGGCTTTCTTGAGAATAAAATGTGAACATGTATCTTATTTGGCTTAGTTTTTTAGAAAGACAGAAAGGATGTGAAAATGTATCTTATTTGGCTTAGTTTTTTAGAAAGACAGATAGGAGTTATAAAGGACATTGTTATATATTTTTGAACGACAGACAAGGTTCTAAAGGATATGGTTACATGTAGATGCTCTTTCACATCCTTATCACGTGAATTCGACTTAAAATTGTTCTGGCAATCAAACATTTGATCTGTTTCTTTTTTATAAAAAATTGATTTTATCTTGAGCATGGACAGGAGTCTCAATTGAATACATGGAGTAGTGACACTAAATGGACTATTGAGCAGCTTATTTTGCAGGAAACTTTTTCAAGGTATTAACCTTTGAAGTGTATGCATTGTTAATTTTTCAAGTTATTATTTGCATTTTTTACCTTATTCATTCAATAATTTGCTTGTGATATGGAAAAAGTTATTCTGGATACTTATGATATGAATGCTTATGATATTTACATTATGCTAATTTGTTTTTAAATTTTTTCAGGGAAGAGTGCGATAAGTTGATAAAAGTTCTAAATTCACGGGTTGCGGTAGCTGGAGAGAAAAATTTACCTGCTCAGAAGACGGTTGACAATGGTATTACTTTTTAAGAACTTAGACAACCGTATCCAATGCGGATTTTCTCATTCACTAATGCAGTTCTCATCTTCATGAGCAGAAGATATTGACATGTACAGTAAAGCTATTCAAGAAGCTAAGAAATGGTTTCAAGATAAGAAAGTGGGTTCAAGTTCGGTGGCAGAGTTGGCCCATGAGATCAGTAACATTAACTCTGGACATGTTAGAGCTGATCCTGCTTACTCTTTCTAGTGTTATGTTGCTGTTATCATTATTCACATATGCAATATGACATAGGTTTTGTATGTGCATTGATTATCCTTTCCTCACTCGATGATTATCTCAATGTCTCCGATAATCACAAAGAAACCGTGATCCGAGAAGAGATTAGGGTGATGATAATCAAATATCATTGTTTCTACCTAATGCAGGTGGAAACTGGAGGTGGTTCTCCGGTAGATGTCGCTAGAACCTATATGAAGGAGAGGCCACCTTGGACATCTCCTACAAAAAGTGTTGATTTAAGAACCCCGATGAGGAGAATGGAGCTTTTCAAAGAAGGAGCTTTGTATTCGGTTGGCCAGGATTCTCTCTCTTCATCAAATGTTCATTTGTAATTGTTTCTTTTTATATAACCAGGATTCTTCTCTTCATCAATTGTTCATTTGTAATTGTTTCTTTTTATATATTCATTTCTGCAGCAGTGGTTTTCCTTGTTATGCATGTCCATTTCACGAAAGAAAAAAAAATTAAAGTTGTATAGTTTGTACTGTTAAGGAAATGTATTGTCTCCATCTTATAATATCTTTTATTCTGTTCATTGATTATATCATTATATTCTTGTTCACCATGGCATCATAATTTAATTGCTACGTAATTGGAATGTGTAGAAACGGAGTTCTATGGTCTCTGGATCATGGAATATTCTTGAAGAACTACGGCGAGTCCGCTCAAAGGCAACGGAAGATATGCTGCGCACCCCACCCACCAAAGTCGATCGATCGTTTGCAGTTGGACAAAATAAGGTGGAGTCTTCAGGAGCTGGTCTAATGTTGTTTGGTATGGGAGAGAGAATTCCTGACACAGAGTCTTCGAGGAAAACTAAAAGAGCAGATGCAGGAGTGAGTTCTGAACCTAACCTTGCAGGTCGGTTTTTTTTTTTTTTTTTTTTTTTTTTTTTTTTTTTTTTTTTTTTTTTTTTTTTTTTTTTTTTTTTTTTTTTCTTGCTTATGTTAATCTTTGCTCATATAGTTTGGCCATTAGTTTAGGCATGATAGGATTTTATTTTTTATTTTTATTTTATTTTTCTTTTTTGGCCATTAGCTTAGACCTGATAGGATATTTTTGTGCATAAGGGTAGCTTGAAACTCTGAAGTGTCTTTTCCATTTATAGTACACGTAATTGACCCGGTTTCCTGGCTTTGAAAACTGACATGCAAACAAGCAAGCAAGTGGTGCATATTGTTGTGCTGTCTCCTTCTTTTGTCTAATGTGTCTGTGATTATGTTTTGTTGCTGAGCTTTGTCCTTTTACTTTATTATTTAGATTACCTGTTTAGTCTCAAGCTTTAATTTGTCAACCCCCATCACAACTCTCGGCCTTTATTTTTTGTTTCTACATTTATAGTTTTAGGGATGATCAATAAAAAATATCATGAGGTGGTAAGTATCAAAGATCCCAATATTATTTGCAAATTGCAAAGTCACAGTTAAAACTAGCTAACGGCGATTAAAATATGACAACTCCATTTATCAATATTCCTTCCACAGGTCCAAGTCCGCACAGCACTAATGGAGTCCCGTCGACTGAAGTGGCTGAAGCCGGCGAAAAATTGAACTTGAATGATCCATCGTCATCTGAGCCCAGGTGAAAACAGATTTTATGTTTTTGATGGTCTTTAGTCATGATTCGGCTAATCAACTTACCTGTGCTCGATTTTCGAAATAAAACATGATCCTGTTGTGCAGCTTTCCTGCAGGGCAAAACTCCGAGAAACATGAAGAAAACAATAATACGTTTAATACTGACAACGACCACAATTCTGCTGATACTTTTAATGTGGAAGGTAAGTTTGAGCTTCCGAACGAAGTTTACACGGAGGTCCCCATCATAACCGAAATCAACAGCATGGCAAGTGGGTCTCAGAACAGCTTGGGTTTGCAGTATGAGGAACTGGCATTGGATACTACTCAGCTGTACCCGGAGGATGAGAAAGTGGCCGGGAAGCCACAAATGAGAAAATTGGGTAGGAACGCCCGAAGGGGCAGAGGAAGGGGTAAATGATGGGTAGGTGTACTTAGTGCTGTGTTTTTTATTTTATGCGTTGTACACTACTGTAGGAAGAAGTGTGCCTTTGTCGGGGTTTAGGATCTCGCCTGTTTTTTTCTTTTTTATCTTTTCCCATTTTTATTTACTGTAGTTTTGAAAAATTTACAGTATTGGTAGGGTTAATTTGTTAGCTGTTTTATGTAGAAGCCATGTGATTCTTGCAAAGAGAGCGGCTTGTTGTCGTGTGTTTTCCGAGAAACTGGCATGGTGAGCTCTATTTTAGTTGGATAATTTGTAGTTGTGTCCTATTAGATTACACTTGTGCTAAGGTCTTAAATTCTACTTGTGTGTTGGCACCTTCGTTTGGGTTTACCCTTTTTTTTTTTTTTT